TAAATTTACTTTTATTGTCTATACAGCGGTATTTGTTAAATACATTTTTACATGTATACATTTCATTATTTACATATACGGCGGTATTCATTCGTGTCTCCAAATAATCATTTTATTTGGGTTATTGGATAATCGAAAGTTACGATTTATAAATTTTAACGTGTAATATAACCGCATTTTAAAAAATAATTTTTTTAAGTATAAATGTGGAAACCTGCTGCATGGGTGCTTAAATGTTGTTAGTTCAGCCTCTGTTAATAATTTTTGTATAACATTTTTCTCTAAAACAATATTTTGAAAGTGCTCATTGAAAATCGCTTCCAATGAACACACGTAAAAAATGAAATTATTATGTGGCAATTTTAAATTCCCGAAATTTGAATTTTGGTTTTGGTATGTTTTCAAGAAACAAAAAATGCTCCTATTTTGACAGCCTCGAACGCTGCAAATTAGGTGATTTTTGCTTTTATTCATTTTGGCGTCTGATTTATGCAATATTTCACCGAAAATTAACCTCTGTGGCGTCACACCGACTTTGCGCTACCACACATACCAAGCGTCACACCGATTTTGCACTACCACATATATAAAAATCCTCTGATTGGTCTCCGCCAAAATAATGGCGATGCGCAGTACGGATCGGCGCAAACCACGAAAAAGAGTAAGAGTGAGCATACTAGTTATACTATGGTCAGTCGTTGCACAGACGTCGGACCGAGTAGACGTCTCACTGCGTCTCACGTGGAATAAATTATCCTTTCCACAAATATAAAGATTTACTGTCTCTCACCCTTCTTTCATACATTCCTGACACCTCCCCACGAAACCAATTCGCGGTTAGTGCCGTTTAATATATCGGTGCGTCAACAAAAGCATACATATTACGGGTGCATTCGGGGAGACGCTATTAACGCTATAAACGCAAACGCTATGAACTTCGTTCGAAGAGCCAATAGCGCGACAGCGATAGCAAGCTCCCCGAACGTAGAGTCCTAGATAATAGAGAAGCGACATTGAAGGGAATGGTCTGATTGGCTAACTAAATCACGTGATCCAGCGCCATTTTGTTTCTCCCTTATGGTTAAATAAGTGAGGTTAATGCACGTTAGAGGCCTGCTGCACGTGAGACAACGCGATTACATTACTGTTACGGTTCTGTGAAAGGCCGTGATTTTTCGGATCCTACCGTGATATAGGACATCGTCAAGACAAATTTGTGGCCACCAGAGACAGGAGACAGGTACACGGAAGAGAAGGAAGCCAAAATCATAGAAAACACGTCGTCGTCGCAGCCTGATAACGTGGCCGCGAGTTACAAGGAGACCAAGAGCAAGACGTCCGGCAGGAAGAAAGACGTAAAGATCAAGGTGGGCGAGCAAATGTCAGATACTGAGCTGGTGGATCCTTTGCCGGAGAAGTTACGCTCGACAGTGAACGCCAGACTGAAGAACGATCTAATCGTGTGCGCGGTGATCGGCACCCTGTCTTTTGGAATTCATCGTACGACGGTGTTCACCGCTCTGCAACCGGAGCTCAATCCGGTACTGTGGAGTAAACTCTTATGTTTCATCGTTTTTCTAGAAATGAAGGACAGAAAGCTAGATGGATTAACAGTATCAGGAATATTAATGGATCTACTTGGGAGCCTAAGGATCCATTGTTTGTGTGCTCTGTAAGCTGCAGTGTAGCAAATATATACATATACATATATAGCGAAGTCATTTACTCATAGCATACATATTTTTTTAGGAGCATTTTGACAGGTTTTCTTGGGAGCGTGTTAGAGAAGATGGTAAGAGGAAACTGAAAATCGGAGCAATTCCTTCAGTTTTTAACGATAGTCTCCCATCGAAGCTATTTAATGAACATACATATTCAATGCCATTACCTGTTAGCGCAAACTTAAAAGGTCAAATATCAGGGAAAGTTAAAATATTACTCTGCAAGAAAGCAAATCCAAAACCTTTGGATACCAAAGGTTTATACCAAAGTTTTTTTATACCAAAGTTGATCTTCCTCTTTATTTACAAGCTTGCCCAACATAGGAATCACTACGCGATTAATTCGTTCCACCTGACCATTGCTTTGAGGGGAACCAGTGGCTATCAATATATGCTTAATAACCGTGCTTATCAACAAAACTCTTAAACTCTTGCGAAGTGAAACAAGAGCCCCTATCGGAGACAATAACTCGAGGCTTACTATAGTTGCTAAAATAATCGGATAGTGCTTTAATAGCTTCTTTACTTGCGGTGGTCTTTGTGGCGTACAACTTGACGTATTTTGTGAACGCATCTACAACTAGGAAAATATACTTTTTTGTCGCACACCGTTTATCGATGGGTCCCAAGTGGTCAATGTGCAATACGTCCAGGGGAGTGTTTCCTTTTGGTATTGGATGCAAAATGCCTTCTGTTTTTCCCGAATGTGGAGAATATGCTAAGCATTTCAAACAATTAGAGATATGCGCTCTTACTTTCGCTTTTAAATCAGGAAACCAATAACTTTTAAGTATTACCTCCATAGTTTTTTCTACCCCCAGATGCCCCATTTGATCATGATATCTAAACAAGATATTATTTTCCATATTTTGAGGAACGTAAAAGAGCAGATCACTATTCTTTTTACGGTAAACCAATCCATTACGCATCTCGAAGAATGGACTTTCTGATTTCTCTAGTTTTCCTACTAGTTCAATAATATCTTTATCTTGCGACTGGCAAACTGATAAGTTATACTCGAACGGATTATCTTCTATGACGCAAATATTAAAGGATCTACTGAGTGCGTCCACGTGCTTCATCCGATTGCCCGGCCTGTGTTCTACTGTATATTCAAAACTTTGCAACTCTAAGGCCCAGCGGGCAATTCTAGGATTAATATCCTTTTTTTGTAACGTCAATTTAAGAGCATTGCAGTCTGTAACGATCTTGAAAGATATACCGACTAAATATATTCTAAATCTTTTCAAAGCATATACTATAGCTAATGTCTCTAGCTCAAAACTGTGATATTTGCTCTCCATTGGTGTTGTTCGTTTAGAGAAATAGAAAATTGGATGCAATTTACGGTCTGACTTACGCTGTACCAGTACGGCTCCGAAGCCGTGTGAACTAGCATCACAATGTAATTCGGTATAATCATGAGGATCATAAATGGCCAATATCGGCGCTGTTACTAACTTAGATTTTAAAGCCTCAAAAGCATTTAACTCCTTTTCAGTAAAAGCAAACGTGGCATCTTTTTTCAGTATGTCATATAAAGGCTTAGCGATTAATGCAAATCCTTCAACAAATTTGCGAAAGTACGAACACAACCCGAGAAAACATTGCACATTGCGCACACTTTGAGGAACGGGAAATTTTAAAACAGCCTCAATGCCACTATCAGTCGGACTATGCCCTGTGAAGAGATGGAGTAGCCTAAATACTCTATTTTGGTAAATAAGAATTTACATTTGTCAATTCGCAGATTACATCTATTTTCGATCAATAATCTAAATACGCGTTTTAATACATAGAGATGACGTTCTAACGACTTAGTTGCTATCAAGAAATCATCGAAGTACGCTATTACATCTCCCTCACGGATCAGCTCCTGCAATATATCGTTTACAAATTTTTGGAATCTAGTCGGGGCTGTTTTTAATCCAAACGGCACTACAACGAACTCAAATTGGCCGAATGGTGTAACAAATGCAGTATATTTAATGGACTCTTTAGACATATGAATGTGGAAAAATCCATCTTTTAAGTCTAATACACTAAAATATTCTTTATCTCTAAGAACATTTAATTGATCTTCTATCACTGGAATTGGAGAATTATCTCGTAATATATATTTATTTAAAGTTCGATAATCGATACACATTCGGTACTCTCCGTTTTTTTTACGTACAAGTACAACCGGCAACGCATATTCGGAGTCACTAGGCCTAATGACTCCTTTCGCTAATAATTCGTCCAAAATTTTCCTCAACTGTTCCTTTTCACTATACGATAATCTCCTCGGTGAGAAATGAAAGCTTTTTACATTATCAAACTTTAATGTCAGTTCCGCATTAACCTTGGGCTTTAAAGGACGTTTTGGCAATACATATTCTTTTTCGAACAATTTTTTAAACTCTAATTGTTTAGCAGGACAAATATCCGGATTAATTACTAACGTTTCACTTACTTTATCTGGCATATCGCTTATATTAATATTAAGAATCTCGTTATCTACATTCAGAATCTCGTCGTTATCTAAATTTTCCGCAACGTTTACAGGAATAGCAATTAAATTAACTTTAGCTCTTTTTAGAATGTCCCGACCGATTATCATAGAGAATGACGTAGTATTATCAGCAACCACGTATACTGACACGTTAGCTTCACTAATTTGATCGTAATGAATATCAATTGTAGTAGTTCCAACTACGTTTAGCTGACTGCCATTAATTCCACAAAATTTATTTCCAGCATCAGTCGGCTTAATAAAACAATTGGGAATAATCTTTTCTTTCACAAAACTTATTGGACTCCCAGTATCGATCAACGCATCTACTTTAGTTTCATACTTCGCAACAGAATCACTCAATTTTATCGTAACTACTTTTTGAAATTCATTACTAATCAACGAGGCATCTACGTAATTAACTTGTTCTGATTCACTCTTACCGTTACATTCGCTCATTACATGCCCTTTTTCTCCGCATTTGAAACAGGTACCTTTCTCTCTCTTAGGTGACTTACAGTCCTTAGATATATGTCCAAATTTGCTGCAATTGTAGCACCGTATTTTGACCTGTGACGCACTTGACTCCGTCGACGCATCCTTTCTCTCCGACACCTTCGTATGAGACTGCACGTCCTTCTGCTCCTTGTTCTTCCACTTCAGCTCTCGTTTCGGACGACTTTTCTCCTCCATCAGATTGACACTTTCAAACGCCGTTAGCAGCTCGTCTTTCGAGGCGAACTGTTGAAGCTTTGCTTGATTACGTAACTGCAAACTGGATATACCCTCGATAACGTACTCCAAAATTTCTTCTTCATCCACTGGAACGCGATTAGCAAGTATAATCTTCTCGTGGAAATATGCACTAAACGCTTCTCCCTGCTTCCACTTTCTTTCTTCAAACTGCTTCCGCAGCTTCAATTTACTTTGACGGTGATCGTACATTTTGCGCATTTCAAGAAGTATATCATTCGCGCTGAGCTCGACATGCTCGGGGCGAGAGTGAAACCACTCTAATGCTTTGTCCTTAAGACGCGCTCCTATGAGAATCTTTGCACTGTTGTCATCCAAACGATATGTTGCAATTAATAATCGGGCTTGCTTCTCCCAATTTCGGAACATGCCCTCTTTTCCTTGAAAATCGCTCAGCAATTCACATATTGCTTTCACGCTATGTTTCGATGGCACTTCCGGTCCTGCATCGTTCCGCGGGGCATTACGCAACATCTGGTTCTCTCTCTCCAGCATCCGCATCTCTCGCTGCATTAACGCTTGTTCTCGCCGCATGAATTCCATCTCACGCACCACGTCTTCTGGCAGAGTCCCGCCGCGGTTCGCGCGTCGATCTCTCTCCGACCGCTCACTCGCATGCTCGGGGTGCGTTCGGGGAGCTCGCTACCGCGCTACCAACGCTAACGCTATTAACTTTGTTCATGGAGCCATGATAGCGCTAGCGAATGCGAGCTCCATGAACAGCAGTAGCGTGTACTAACGTAGCGTTTCGTAGACCCTGCGCCGCCAAATTTAAAAAGCTGAGTTAATAGATGCTGTGTGTTGTATCAATTACTTCTTTAATATTTTCAGGGCAGAAGTTGAGAGTAGTATGTGTGTAAATGAATACGATTCATTTGTAGTAAAACAACTTAAACTATTTTACAAAATATAAAAAAGCGATTTTAAATTCATGAAACTCATGTTTGCGGAGCACTTCTGGATCCGACTCTTCAAAGTGTTAGAGGTGTTGCTGAATATCTCGCAGACAAGCAGCAATCTCCTAAGGAATTTTTAATATATATGATCCACAAAATGTTCCCCTGAATGTTAAAAATGAGCAGGTTAGATTATTTTTATATTTTATTTATTAACATTAAGCGACGTTTTAGATTAGATCATATAATTTTAACAAATATTTTTGTTCTAGTAAAACTTATTGTCCAATTGAATGACATTGTTTTTATATATAAAATGAGAAATATAATTAAATATATTTTTTAATAATATATTCATATTTGGTTCTATTTGATTATATGCTATATAAAATTAATTTATACTTTTAATACAATGAAAAAATTAGTGTATATAAATTTTGTCCACTAAACTATATATAGATATCTAACAACAAGCAATACCTAGTCTAGGTAATTTACAGTAGCTAGATTTACAAAATCTAGGCTTAATATTGTAATTAAACGTAGTATATATTTAAGTCTTACATAGTTTATATTGCAACAGCTTCTATATTAATCACCAAATATAAGATTATTATTTTTATGATATATATAATAAGTTAGATTCTCACGTTTAGTTTTACTTTTTCATAATATGGCATCTAATAAAGAAGCAGATTATTTTAATAAGTCGTGTGAGCTTCTTGAAGTTAAAAAATTACGATTGGAGTTGGCTGCGAAACATACAAGTATTATTCCATCCTATTCTTGTCCAAGTTAAAAAGTATTTACATATCGTCGCTTCCGAATAAAAGGGCGTTAACTTGGAAGCCGGTTGAAAAAGGCGTTAACTCGGAAGCCGGTTGGAAAAGACGTTAACTGGGAAGCCGGTTGGAAA